TGATATTCTGATTTATTTTTGAGGCCTTAGGATACAGAGACTTTCAACATGGACATACTCAGTGGTTTGTTATTTAACGAGATGTCTAGAATTGCCTAACAGACTCACCTATAGATACATATATTAAGGATTCTTTCATTACCTTATCAGGTATTTGCAGTAGAGAAAAAAAAATGTCACATATAAGTTGCCCTGACTCTTCTGTACTGACCCAGTTACCTAAGCACGGAGGTGTTTGTTTTGCTTCTGGTCTCAAGTGGTACATGGAGTATCACTGACTGAAGTTTTAAAACTTACCCTAGAAACTTGATTCTGTTAGATTTCTTTATTCAAGAAAGAAAATCACAGCAGCGAGATTGCCTTGGCCTAAATTACTTGAGAAGTGACATTTTTTTTCTTTCTTTGAAAAGGTCTTTTTGTTAGAGATATTTACCTAAGTTTCCTTAATTTTTATGAGTACTAGTAGGCAGAATAGTATATTTTACATATCCACTTGTTTACATATTTCCATTGCTTGAATATTTTATAAACATTTGTTAAACTGTCAACCATCATCCTCCACTTTCATTCCCACTCTCCAACATACGCCCAAGAAACTGGCAGCACAAAAAAGAATGGGTATAAAATAGAACTTACTCCATGTATCAATAGGTAACAGAGGTGAGGAAAGTTTGGATGGGGGCTATTTCTGAGGAGTTGTTTATATAGGTTAAAATCCAAAGGTATAGAAAATGATTTTTAAATAACCAAACCCATATAATTGCAATGTTTACATACATTTTTGAATATTTATAACCATTAAGACAGAGATAAGAAATAGTAATGCTATTTTTTTTAGAAATTATAATATTTTGTTATGAAAACAGCTAGCATCCCTTCTTTAGGTCTGTGATGCTTGAGAAAATATAGAATAGCCCTATTAATGATAATTCAGAAATTACTCACACTACGATTCTAAATTAAATGTAAACTTTTTCTTTCTGACAATTAAGAACTTTAGAGTACTAAAGAGCCCTTAGCATTTCCCTCAGGATAATAGTAATACAAAAGATATTTGGTTTTGAAGATTATTTAAGTATAAAGGGATGAGTTTGATTCCTTTGTGATTTAAAGTAATAACATGTCAAAAGTTGAGTTTGGTAATACAATCTATTAGAAATTTCAACAGAAGGAAAACTCATCAATCTCTGTACTTCTCTAAATGTTCTTTTTTATTTTTTCCTTCTGTTTTCGAGAATTAATCATAATCTCATTGCATATTCATATTTAGAGTAAATTGTGGGCAATTATAATGTTGCAAATATTCTCAAGAAAACAAATGATAAGTTTTCAAATTTGAGTTAGCCAAAACTCTCAGTTTAAGAATCCTGAGATGTTCACATGCACAAAAAGAAACTTTCCAACTACATGAAATTCAAGTAGTCCCTTTGCAAATTGTTACAAAAAGTGTAAAACCTAAATGTGATTTATTCCCACCAGAGCATTTACATGTTTAAATAATGAGGTATTGAAAAAAGCCCACACAGGTGGCAATGTACATGCCAGGAAGTCACTCAGGCTGGGATGGGGAAGAAAACTGAGATGGAACAGGCTGTGTATATTCAGGGGAAAAAAAGTTTTGAATCAGCCAATAAAATTAGGACAAATGTAAAGAAAGCCTAATATGGATATAACTTGCTAGGTAACATCTGGGAAAGAATGTGAACCCTTTAGTACTCAGCCAATTAGGAACCAGAGGAGGGATTCCAGTGCTAAGGAATAAAATTCTTCTGTAACTACCCTGAGTGCACCTGCCCACCAGACACCCGATCTAACAAGGCCGTCATTAAAGCCTCGCTCTGCTGTTCTCTTTGTCTCTGTGTCCACTTACTGAGTTTGGACCAGTGAACGTGTTTCTCACAAAATTAAATCTTTGTATCATAAATGGAGCCAGGCCAAAGTTGAGTAAGGTTCAGTAATTTGTCTTCAGACCTCTAACCTTTTAGATACCACCTACTTTAAAAGCAAAATAGATTTTATTTTGAAATAGAGCTCCTATTTCAGCTCTCCTACAACTCCAGGAGAAAATGTAGCTTTTTAATGCACATGGCTTACATTTTGGCTTACATACCATCAACAAAATAACTACAGAAACAAAGAATATTAAAAAATAAAAAGATATAATGATAGATGGATACCATTATCCTATATAAACAAAGATGTAAATTACATGAATATTGGTGTATACAAAGCAGCAAACTATAACAACCATCCCTCTGAGACAAGCAGCTCTAATTTGTAGCATTAGTCACTTTCTATACTATAAATACTCCCATTATGGCCACAAATGTGATCTCACTGAACTTGGAGTTGAGAAGAAATACCTAAAATTGGCCCTCAAGTAAGTATGAGGCAACTTCCCAGCTCTAAAAATCTGCTATTTTAAGTAAATTATATATCTAAAATGTAGAGACAATGGGCATTCTTTATCATTTGTAGGAATGTGACATGTTATGATACTTTGGAAAATAATATGGACTTACTTGCTAATATTAAAAGTATATACATATATATATTCATACATATATATAATTTTTCTCATAATAATTCCATTTTTTAAGTATTTATTTTTTAAATAATAATATACTGGTACTTCAGTAGTTTATGTAATACTGTAATGATACAAAAATATATTCCAAACATTAATCTAAGTGCATTTTGCATTTGCTAACTCGTTAATCCTCACAAGAACTCTATGTGATATGTTTCATTAATATTCTCATTTTACTAGTTATGAAACTGACATACAGAGTATGCCCAAAGTCACACAATAATAATTGGTAAAATCGGAATTTGAATCCAGGCAGTGTGGTTCCAGGGTTCATGATTTTACCACTCACTGCCTTTCGCAAAAGTCTTGAAGTAGCTATCAGTTCCATGCCAAAAACAAAACAAAAAAGGCCCCAAAGTTTAGTTGAATCAATTAATGCATCCTAATTTTGGATGCATTCTACAACTATTAAAAGGAAATAATTCTGAAAACTCTAAGAAACACCAAAAAATTTATAATTGCCTCTATTTAACATTCACATTCTGTACTGTACGATTTAAATTTATAATAAAAAATTATTAAGATAATTTAACATATTCTTTAACTTCACACCATTCCATTCCTCCTTTTTGATGAGTCATACATATCCTTCTAATTCATTTTATCCTTGAAATGCTAAAGCCTTTCTCTCTCCTTCAGTTATAAGTAGTCTAGAGAATTGAATACAAATTGTTCCAGATGTCTTTATAAATATTTTAAATTAGACAGCAATTCAGATTTCTTTCAGCTTTCATTTCTTTAAAAAAATTTGCTCATTTTAAATAGCACAATAAAAACTAGCTTTCAAATGTATTTCACAGCAATCTAACTTGTCTTTAAATTTTATTAGCTATCCTGAGTCAAGCAAGGGAAATTGTATCTTTTCTTCACATTTCTACTTGCACAGAAACATTTTTAAACAAAGTTTTCAGTGTTTTTGAGGAGCTCTGAGAGGCCCCTCCTAACAGAGTTAACTTTTTCCTATATCCACAATTTTTACTGTAGTCTCTGCCACTGGATGACACCAAGACTTGGAATTTTAAAAATACCAGAATAAAACAAA